CACACACACTCACCCACACACCTACCCAGCAGTTATCACACCCACCCACACACCCCAGTACTAAAATTTGAGATAGAGGAATTAGTCAGTAACGCCCTATCCCCCCCAGTCTGGCCACCTCCCCAAGACAGCATGGCTGAAAATTCTCTTTAAAAAATCTGATATTTAATGCCTTTGAGTTGCATCAACTTTATTATTTTACTCTCCGTCTAATGCCACACAATTTTACTCATCAAGGGGGGGGGGGGGGGTGAGACCTGTGCTTTAATAGTCTGTGTCAATAATAATAATTATTTATAATGCATACTCAGTTGTTTATTAACTGTTTAGTATATGTCCAGTTCAATTACATGATTTGATATATTTCACAGGATGGTCAAGTATCTCCAAAGAAAAACTATGCAGCAGGGAAAAAATTTAGTACGACAGGTAAAATACTGTCGCCAGCTTGTAGAACGAATAATAATTGAGCTGTCATCTGATATGGGTGATTCCAGTTATATGGACTAAATTTTGATCAAGGCAAGAAGAATGAAATCCAACACCACAGCTAGAAAGAGCGTCTTAGAATGAGTAAAACTGCAAAGATTGGTTGCTAAATGTTGTAAAATGTAGCTACTGTACATTTCGACTTATGGCACATTAACATGGACGAAACTTATGCCAAGCTAGTTATAGAGCGTATTATATAACTTCGTATGGCATTTCTGAAGCATTTTTTAAACCCCTGTTTTTCACCCTCGAAGTACGAATCGCTCCGAAAATTGTGAACACAAAATAAGTTAAATTATTTTAATTTTGTCATGTTTTCAGAGCAAAAAAGAAGTTCTGCTGGTAATGAGAACAGAAAAAGTTTTAAAAAGAAAAATAAGGTCGAACTAACTTTTCCCATCTTATTACACACTACTAACATATTTGTAAATTTAGCGGGTTTTGTTGATTTACGATCTAAGCCAAACCTGAGAGTTGAGAAGCGAGAGTTTACATGAGAGTTTTCTCAACTTTCATTGCTTGATCAAACGAGAACAAGAGTTGCATGAGAGTTGACAAGCGAGAGTTTACATGAGAGTTTTCTCAACTTTCATTGCTTGATCAAACGAGAACAAGAGTTGCATGAGAGTTGACAAGCGAGAGTTTACATGAGAGTTTTCTCAAATTTCATTGCTTGATCAAACGAGAACAAGAGTTGCATGAGAGTTGAGAAGCGAGAGTTTACATGAGAGTTTTCTCAACTTTCATTGCTTGATCAAACGAGAACAAGAGTTGCATGAGAGTTGACAAGCGAGAGTTTACATGAGAGTTTTCTCAACTTTCATTGCTTGATCAAACGAGAACAAGAGTTGCATGAGAGTTGACAAGCGAGAGTTTACATGAGAGTTTTCTCAACTTTCATTGCTTGATCAAACGAGAACAAGAGTTGCACGAGAGTTGACAAACGAGAGTTTACATGAGAGTTTTCTCAACTTTCATTGCTTTATCAAACGAGAACAAGAGTTGCATGAGAGTTGATAAGCGAGAGTTTACATGAGAGTTTTCTCAACTTGATCGGGTCTTTTACAAAAAGAATTTGTTTGCTCTTTAGGAATGTTTTGGCACACCTCTGGATGATGTTAAAATGCCAGATTTCGACTTTCAGGTAACTATTTGACAGTCAACTTAATCTTGTAGTTTTGGAAACTTTTTTCTTGTTTTCTTCCTGTATGAGATGGAAGCAATCGTCTTAGAGATAAAGATTTATTCTTGTCATTTAGAAAAATCTCAAGCTCTTTGATAAGGAAGCTATTTTCGAAGAATTGAGGGTAAGCCAGAATCTATCAGCAGTTCTTTTCACATGTCAGAAAGGATAGAAATTAACTTGTGGGGCAGGAGATGTACACCCCTATTAGCTTTGCCAATAGGGGTTGCCAATTTCCTTATCAAATTTCATTTGTCTTGTATAGGGCAGTAAATCCGCGCCATCAGCGGAGAAACCGCAAAGCAGTGACAGAAAATTACGTCACGACGAGAATGTTTTGGAACAAGAGCAAGAACCTGTGAATTTGAGACAAAGTAAGCTTCATATATATTGCAGGGAAGTAACAGTGGTTAATTCCTTGTATTGACGAGATTTCCAATGGACCATTCGCATTAAGCCTGATTTCCACTAGGCGGAATTTTGCGCGCGCAGCGGAAATTTTCTTTGTCTTTTCTAATTAGTTCCACCTGAGAAATCACAAGACAAAGAAAAATTCTGCTCCGCGCAACAGCTGGGAAATTTGTTGTCGCTGTGCAGAGAAATTGCTGGCGCACGCGATATTTTACAAAAATTCGAAAATTTGAAAAAACAACACGAGTGAAATTTCAACTTATGATTTTGCATTTTTAAGACGGCGATCAAGGAAATTAAATTATTGGAAAAACTTCACTAACATCGCGTATCTCAAGTATGGAAAGCATCTACATTGCCAGCAATTTAATTGTGGATTGATTCAAAATTCAGGCGATGAAGTTACATAACTAGGAGTTGGCTTTTTTGCTCTTCGAATATCAGTTTTCATTCGCGGATTAACACAACTTGTTGGTCTCATGGGTGCCAAAATCGACATAAACGTAAACTGGTAACCAAGAGCTATAAAACAAATAGCTTTTCAAAAAGATAAACTTTATTCAGTCAAAAGGATGAGGGTAAATAAACATGCCACTGCGTGATAGTGATTTCGAAGCAACATTGTCACATATATTTTAAAAAGTGTGATTATGAATCAAATTTTGCTTTTTGCAATCCCAAAAAGGTATGAAAATTATTTAAATATTTAAGGTTTCCGTGTTTATACAGTATTTTTTTGAGAAAAGTAAAAATTTTCCCGATAAAAAAGCATAGTTTCTGCAGAAAACTGTTTTCTGATAGAGAAGATCCTGGGGGAGGGGGTGTAGAAGCGTGCGCGGATAGCAAAAAACCTTGACGTTTCCTCCAAAAAATTAATACCAAATTTTGTTTTGCCTTTGTTTGATATGTAATTTAAACAAGTTTTTTTACAGCTAAAAATTGCCCCTAGTGGTCAAAACTTGGATTATGTTCGCAGTATTGGCCATTTGTTTACTTTTGGGGATCAAAGTTTGAGGTCCAATTATTTTTAAAGTTTGCAAACTACCCAGCTAATTCTTGGCTGTTGTTTGCAGCCTTGTATGCTGATTAAAATTTAGTTTAGTCCACAATGGTAGATCCTTTCAATGAAGAGAAATTCAAAATAGTATATTTGATTACTTTTACAGCACAGTCATTACATAGGTAGGGTGCAATACCAGGCCAAATTGCAAAAAAATTTACCGATTCCTCCAAATTTAAAATCATATTTTTTTGCTCCCAAGGCACATAGGAAACATAATTTAACAATAAATTTTGTTGAAAAATTGCCCCTTTGCGTCTAATTTCGTTTTGAAATGCGTGCGTTTACTGCTCTTGTATGAAGCAAGAGTTCGAAAACATTCGAAGTACTGTAAAATGTAATGAAATCGACAACTTGACCTTGCCCTTGAGATCTTGTACAGTTGTACTGCCTCAGCACTGAAATGTTTTTTGACAACGATAATTTACCAGTGTTTCTTGAATATTTTCCTTGTTTAACTGGTAGAACCGAACGTACAAGTGCTTCAGAAGACTAAGCGAGAGTTTTGTGTAGAAATGCTCTGTTTACGGGAAGTTATTTTGCATTCGCAAATGTCAACAAAAGCCTGCATTTTCACCGTTTGATTATGATGTCGATAGATGAAAGCTTTGAAAACTCAATTGAAAACATTTTAAACCACCCGTATTTGTATAGAGTATATGTTAGTTATATTAACATTGAACGTCTTTGTGTTTGACCCCAAATTTCTCCTTGTTTTGCGTTTGACAAGGCTGCCAAGCTCGCGACGATTGGCAGGCATGACTGCAGATTTAGCGTGTCAAATGTCTTCTTGTTTGTGTCAAGATTATAATATTCTATTGCTGTTCAAACGAGATATTCTATACACTGGAAACGTAGAGTACATTTTACTTTGTCTTTGTCTCAAGCCGTGAAAAATTATAAAGATTAAACAGGCGTTCAAAAATATACAACAATCACGAACATCTCGTAATAAATATTTCTTCGGGGAAATCTTCAAGTTTCAATGGAAATCTGGCGCATGCGCAACAAACTTCCCAGCTGTTGCTCCGCGCGCAAAATTCCGCCTAGTGGAAATCAGGCTTTATAGACTAAATTTTGATCTAGACAAGAAATTCATCACAGCTTGAAAGAGCATCGCAAAATTAGTAATATTCCAAAGTTTCGTTGCGAAATGTTGTAAAATGCGGATCATATAGCCTTGCGACGTTTGCCGTTTTTCACTCATTTTGTATTACGCACGGGAAATTGACAGCCCAATCGGGTGTTGGGGCATCAATTTCCCTTCTGTAATACAAAATGACTGAAAATTGCAAATTTCGCAAGGCTATATTATCCGCATTTTACAACGAAACTTTGGAATATTACTAATTTTGTGATGCTCTTCCAAGCTGTG